CTTAACCACTACGCCACGGGGCCGGCCCCAACAGTGTTAACTCTTGATTGTAGGAATGTGGATGAATGGTTGTTAGTTTCTGCTTTGTGCTTTTTGGGTTTTCAAACTTCCTAAAATAATAACAAAAATACAAATATAATTTTAATTATAAAAAACATTTTATGGCTACCCATCAAAGCTGTGGAAGGAAACTTAAACCCAACAAGTTTATGGGAGAGTTCAGCAGCACCCCAGCTTGTTGAAATGCTGGGATGAAATGTCCCTCTCCAGACTGATACCGAAGAACTCACTTATTTTATAATTTATGTATTTAATTTCAACAGATTCACTACAGTTCTGACAATTATCATCTTTCTTTCCTTTGGGAAGCAACAGGGTGTGAGGGGAAACACTGGCCCTCTGTTATGAGAGGTTCGGGGAATCGATCGGAGATGTAAAAGACACTTTCCACTCCAAACAAATGGACTGAAGGTATATTTTATTATACAGAGGATAGTAAAGGCGATAGTCTGCAAACAGATCCGAATAGGTCAAATATTAAGAAGGAAAAAACATCAGCCCGACTGGAAAGGGAAAACATCCACATCGGCTGAAGAGAAATGACACAAATCAACCGGAAAGAGAAACACCAGGTTGACCGAAAAGAGAACACATCAAATCAATTACTTCATATCAAATCAATTACTTCACATCAAATCAGTTACTCACAACATCCATGCCCCACTGCCGGGAGAGCCCTGTCAATCGATGCGGCTGGGCAAGGATCACACGTCCTGGGCAAGGTGTCCCTTCCACAGGTGGAACTCTCACCAGGTCTCAGCTTCCAGCAGTTTATATAAGCAGTTACAGAGTTTACAGAGCAAGCATCTAGTGTTCCCATGCACAAAATAGTTATCAGTGGCGTACGTGCACTGAGCCCCTTGGCTAACGTTCCAGCCCAGAAGTTGTGTACGTGCATTGTTCTCTTTGGTTATCGTCTCAGCCCGGCACAGATGGCCAGTCCATTCTGTGCTACGACGCTCCAAGAGCCTTGAAATGTTACAACTTGCAACTCTCTCCGTGGGAGAAAGGCCAGTTCCCACCACACAGAAAGCAGCTTTGTATTTCTTTATGTGCTGATGGCTATAGGTCAATGGAGCGGCCAAACATGGCTGTACTCATGTCAAGACACCCTCCCCCCAGATCCTCCCAAGGCTCTGCCCTGCCCCTGACCGAGCCTGGACCAGGAGGACTATGAGTTCACTTTGCAAGGACTTGCAGAAAAGGAGGTTGCTCACAGTGCTTTTGCGCCTTGTTCGTGATCTTTCTGAAATTGAAGGTAAAATCCTTCCAGAACAATTCAGTACTGTTTTCTCATTTTATAGCCTCAAAAGAAATGAAGGCCTGTTCAGCTCTAAGCTTTCTTTCATGACATATCACAAAGATATTAATTCTTGAGGATTTTTTAAATCTTTCAGTTGGTTTTTGTATCCAGGGGATGGAAATTTTGGAAAGAGGAAAAACTGTTGAGGCATTGATTCAGAAGATAAATATGAAATATGAAAAAGTGCTTAGAACAGTAGCTGGGGTATGACAAATGCTGTCAGTATTAGCTATTTCTACTAATACAGAGCTATTACTACAGCCAATTCCAATATTCATACTCCTACAGTAAGAAGCAGCAGATATTTTGATTGTTTTATATTTTTGTGTGATATTTGAAACAAATTTTTAAAAATTAAAAACTGTAGAGTTAAGGTATCCTTATCTCTAGCAGAAGCTTGCTGTATGGGCTTTTAGTTCCCCTGTGGGAAGGGCGATGGTTCTCCTCAGAATCCCTCATCCCTGCCTAGATCTTCCCCATCAGTTCTTTAACTAGGTTGATGAGAAAGGGTGGGGCAGCGGGGGCCAGGGGGAGAGGTGTTGTTCCTGAGTGCCAAGGACTAAGGTTTTAGCATCTGACTTCTGCTCTTCCTTTCAAGCCATGAGGGTTCAGTTTTCCACTTCATGAATTTGCCAGAAGCAAAAGTAATATTCCCTCTCACTTGTTATGTAAACCAGAGGAGATCATTCTTGCTAACCTGTGAAGATTCTTATTAGAACTGGAATAGTACACTGTCAGAGACAGTTTCAGCCGAGCCCCATTCTATGCATCTTGCCCCACCTTCTTGCTATTGTGGCACCGTTATCAAGGGCTGGAGTGAAGCCAAGAAAGAGAACACAGAAGATGGTATTCTGATGGTGAGGTGAAATATAATTTATAATCCTTGACTCTGTTCCTCTCTGCCAACCTTTTGTATGTGTCAGTTTTAACATTTCTGCAGAATTGGAAGGCCATCACCAAAAACAGCCCCTGGTCACTTACTCCTTGCTCAGCATAAAGTTAAATACAATTGCTTTGTCACATCTTTTAGATAGCAAGGATGGCATGATGAACTCAGCTGGTGACTGGACTTGAAACCCTAAGAAGTGTAGGATTAGCTGTTGTGGCTCACTCATTCATTAGCATCAGATTCTGGTTAATTGATATTCTACTCCAAAGACTGTCTCCCTGTGCCTCTTTAACACCTCCCTCTTCAAGATAATTTTCACCAGTGGAATTAAAGAATCTAGATATAGCAAGATAAATGCATATACTTTTATGGATACATGAAATTGCTAAAAAACGTTAGGAAGCACTGAACTAGTATAGTCTGCCAGAATAGCCATGGTTCATGCTAACTTCCAGGCATAGAGTCCACCCAAAGAGAAGTATTTAAATCAATTATAATTCTGTTTAATGGAATACCATACAGTTACTTCAAACTGTGTCACAGAAAAATATTTAATGGCATAGAAAGATATTCATAATATATTCAGTGAGAAAAAGGGGGTTAAATAACAGTATATATAATGCAATTTGTACAGTATCATCCTACTTTTTTTTTTTTGAATAAAAGGAGCGTATCATATATATTCAAGGAAAAATATGTCAAAACATACACCAAAATCTTAACAGTGATTAGTCTGGGTAGAGGAATTATGAGTAATTTTTCCCTTTGTGTATGTTTGTGTTTCTGTGTGTATTCCCAAAATTTCTGAATTTAACATGTATTGCTTTTGTAATTAGAAGCAAAATCAATAATATTTTCCTTTTTAAAGGATGGTGCTAGAGTATGACTGGCCGGCTGTTTAGACAAAAACTCACAGTGTGTGTGCGTTTTTGTGGGGTCATCACAAGTACAGGGGCTCATTCTCAACTTTCAAGTTTATAAGCACAATTTGATTACTTCACTAAAGTATTGATGATGGTACAAAAATGATCAGACTGGTTCCCTGCCCTTAACTTCCATTACTACAGGCTATATTCTTATTTTTCTATTAGGAGAGATTCCCCAAATGTAATCACTTCTTCCAAGAATCTGACTCTTCTAATGCTCTTGAAGCAGAACACCAAATTACTTTTCAAAAAGTCTGTACTAGCAATGTTGGGAATGACAATATAGTGTACTCCTAAGCACTGAGTATTTTTATTATTTCCTGCCTTTTGAACAGTTGTAAAATTGTCCTTTAGTTTAATTTGCATTTTAAAAAATGTCTAGCAACCAGGATAAGTTCACACGCTTTTTACTTTTTCTATTTTCTTTGGTTACAACTTTTAGAGAGAGTGGATTGCACTTGCGCAAAAGGAAGAAGCAGAGAGCTGGGAACAGAGCAGCGGTCCAGCAGTCAGGAATCAGGGTCCTACTGCAATGCCTTTCTAAATGGCCTCCCCACTTCGAAGCCTGACCCTCTCCAAATAGCAACCAGAGCGGTCATTGTAAAACTTTAATCAGATCATGTCCCTCTCCTCCTTAAAACCATCCAATGGCTTCCATCGCTTGTAAAGTAAAATCCAGCTCTGCCATGATGGGCAAGGCTCTGCTATGCAACCTTGTTCACTCCACTGCAGCCACACTGGCCTTCCCTTTGCTCCTCAAACATCCCACTTGTTCCCCCTCAGAGCCTGTGACCTTGCCTGGAATGCTTTTTTCTCATTTATGCGCTTGGCTCCTTCTCCTTCAGCGTTTAGCTCAAACGTCATCTCCTCTGACAGACCTTCCGTGCCTCCCCCATCACACTCATTCTGTTTTATTTTCTTCATAGCACCTATCGCAGCCTCAAATTATCCTGAGCAATTGTTGGTTCACTTGTTCTTTTTCTGCCTCCCGCACCAGAACGTAAGCTCCGAGACACGCAGCCTTGACTGGCTCCTTTACTGCCGCAGCCCCACCCTCGTGTAGATGAGACATAATTAGTTGAGCGAATGAAGATCTACGTAGGCTTCCATGCACCTCATCTTTAATGAGGGGGCTAACTAGATGAATGTGAGATTTACGTGGAAGCACCCTCTCAACGAAGTCAGCGCATTCTAGCTCTGGGATTTCTAGAAACCTCGGGGGAGGAAGTCGTAATAGGTAATTAGGAAGCGAAGGGATGGCGAGTCAGAGGAGAATCTGTGCGCTGTAGTCCTTTCACAAGTTGGAGAGCGCAGGGGACCTAGCACGATGCTTTAAGGGAGACGGGCTTAGAGCCATTTGGAAGTTTTCATTTTTTTTTTTTTGGCACGGCGGCCTCATTGAAAGCAAACGGGAAGCAACCCGGGAAGACGAAGAGCCAAAGACCGGCGAGTCCCGGCGCACTCGGGCAGAGTCCGAGCAAGGCTGGTCGGAGGTCGCCCGCCTCTGCACCCCGGGCCCCTTGTCCCAGGCCCGCCCCAGTTGCCACCACAAACTCCTCTTTCCATCCCCTCGCGGGGCCGCTTTCTCGGAGCGCTGAAAGGGCTTTCAAAATACTAAATGCAACTGACATCTTTTTCTGAGTTACAAAAAAAAAAAAACAACTCTGAAAAATCCAGAAACGGACAGATAAGAAGCTCCTACAGCTCCATCACGCAGGACCCGATTGACTCTGGCGCTCACTCGCTCAAGCCTCCTAGGCGCCGCACGGGGCGGGGCGTGGCCGCTGACGCCATCGGGCCGGGACTGCGCAGGCGCGGGGCGGGCTCGCAGGCGGTGTCGCGCGCGGGGCAGTTCGCGCGGGAGCGGGGCGCCGGGGTGCTGGGGCTGCGGGTCGGTGCGAACCGAAGCCGCTGTGGGCCGGAGAGGAAGCCAGGATGGCGACTCCTAGTAGGAAGACGGCGACCCCAGGCCCCCTGGCCTCCAAGAGACCTCTCCCGAGAGACCCCTCATCCGAGGTCCCGAGTAAGAGAAGGAGTTCGGCCTCGCCGGCGCCGCCGCCGCCACGGCCCCTGCAGTCGTCCGGGCCTTTCGTGGAAGGCTCTATCGTCCGCATCGCGATGGAGAACTTCCTGTGAGTGGCCAGAGGCCGCGGCCGGGGGCTCGGGCTGCGGGCGGGTGTGTCCCCGGCTCGTGGGTCTGACCGTGGCGTCGTGCCGGGGTTCCCGTGAGGAGGTTTACTCGTAGGCGGTGGAGATTGACGTGTGTGTTGGTGTGGTAGGCGTGTGTCTTGAGTGATACGGTTTTTTTTTTTAATTCATTCCGCCAACGTTTTTTGAAGGCGTCATATGGAGGGCAGTGGACGTAGTAGAGATTAGATCTCTGCCGGCCGGGAGTCAACGGCCTATAGAGGGAGGACATAATCTGTAATTCACAAAACTGTGGGCCCTGGAAACTCAAAGGAAGCAACAGTTGAGTCAGAGTGGCAGCGGTGCTGTGGCAGGTTCGTAAATAGTAGGCAGTTGCCAGGTGAACAGAGATGGTGAAGGTTGTTCCGGATGGAGGTGGAAATGTACGAGAAAATTAAGCGTTACTCTCAGTTGTTGGGCCTCCCAACAGACCCTTGACCCTTCCAAATCCAGCTTTCTTCACTGGTTCCTTTCTCTCCCTTCTGACAATTAATAATCGTAATAATCACTTTAGAATTTAGTAAATATGTTTTAACACAAATACCGTGTGTCTGTCTAGCACCTTCCAGTTCATTTAGTCAAAGTCTTTTTTTTTTTTTTCAAAAGCTTGCACATAGTGGCATAGGGGAAACAGAATTGCAATGACAACACCAACTTTTTTTTTCAAGCACCCATCATGTGCCAGGTATAGAAGTAGGTGCTTTATGTATACAATGCTCTCCTTCTTTCCTCATAACAACTCTGTACCTTATCTCCATTGATGAGATAAGCTCAGAGAGGTTAATTTGCCCACATTTATACAGCTACTAAGTAGCCAAATTGCTATTTGAATCCAGATCAGGAAAGATCAATATAATCAGGTACCTACCATAATAAGGTATATATCAGGATGCCATGGGGGCAGAAAGGATGAAGTGGTTAATTTCATCCACAGCTATGAGAAAGGGCTTTGTACAAGAGGTTATGAAAGTCTTAGGAAAAGAGCATTGTAGACAGAAGGAACTGCCTGAAACAGTTTGTTATTTTTAGAAAGTGTCCAGTGTTTTGGTATGGCTGGAACATAGGATGTGAGTGAATATGTGTACAGAGCTGGTTCTGAAGAGGTAGGCAACTATTGAGGGTCTGTGTTATCTATGGTGAGGACTTTCAACTTCATCCTGTAGGCAACCAGGATGCGTTTTAGGCAGGGAACGACATGTGATTTATATTACTCTGGAGGCGGTGTGAAGGATGATTCAGAAAGAGTGCAAGATTGGAGGCAAGAAGGCTTTTACAATATGAAGGCAAGAGATGATCAGGGTTTGAACCTAGGAGTAGCAGTGGGGAGTAGGAGGGGAAAGGAAAGAGATTTGACAGCATCTGGCTGCAGTTTGTGAGGTATGAAAGTAAGAGAGAAATGCAGTATTTTTCTCAAATCTCTGCCTTGATTAATTGGTCAGATATATTGTTACTCAGAAGAGGGAGCAATTTGGGGAGAATAATAATAAGTGCCTTTTGGATCCTGTGACTTGAGGTTTCCTGTGAGGGATCTAAAAGAGATCTTCTGTAGGCAGTATTTATAAGGGTCTGGAGCTTACAGGAAAATGTGAACGGGTGAGAGATTTGGGAGTCATGTTATACACATGTTGCAGAAATGGTTGCGATTCCCCAAAAGGAAATACAAATAGAAGGAGTAAAACATTGAAGCGTGAGCAGAAGAGGAACTCACAGACTGAGAAGGAACTGTGCAGGGTGGTAAAAGAATCATGGAAGAGTATTACCAAAGAAGCCAAGGAAAAAGAGTGTTTCAAAAATATCATCTGCTGCATTGAAGTCAGGTAACAGGATTGAAAAGAGCCCACTGCATTTAGCAGTTAGGAAATCTTTGACCCTTAGGTGAAGCAGTGGAAGCAAGAAAAAGTGCTTTTGTAAAAAAATGTAAAGCAAGAAAAAGTGCTTTTGTAAAAAAAATTATTCTTCACTTCTTATCTCTGCTTAGTAATTTCACCTCTTTATAATTCAGAACATATGATATCTGTGAAGTATCTCCTGGACCCCACTTGAATATGATTATTGGAGCTAATGGAACAGGGAAGTCCAGCATCGTGTGTGCCATTTGCCTTGGATTAGCAGGCAAACCTGCTTTCATGGGACGGGCAGATAAGGTGAGTTAACATAAGTACTTTTAAAGAAAATTCAAAGCCATGAATTGCTTTTAGTAACGAACCAATTTCTGTACCTCAGTTCCTTGGGTATAGCAAATGTGTGATGCTTGCATATAAAGAATGAAGTTGGCAGGTGGAGACGCTGGGAGATTTCCATTTCTAGAAGTATTTTGGACTATATACGTAGAGAATTCTCCAAGTATGTAACACCTGTAATCTTAGAAATAGTGTAAAATATTTTACACTATTTACACTATTACACTTAAAAAGATATGTATCTTTTTAAGTGTATTGCTGGGCTTGTGGAAAGGCGAAGTAAATTTACCGAGGGCAGAAACAAAATAGTGTGAATCTGAAGACGTAAGCAAGCTCTTCAGTTGTTTCCCCACGGGCATTTGCTCACCTTGCACCCTATAGCTTGGCTTTGAGTTGCTTGCACAGGATTGGGGTCCTGAAGATGGGGAAGAGTGAGAAGGTAAAACTAGAAGACAAGTACTGTGTATAGCAAAGAAAACAACATCACACAATGAGACAGTGGGTTACTTACTTATCTCATTGTTAGCTCTGAATACAGTGGAGAAAAAAAAGAAAATCTTCCAAAGAATTCCTAACCACAAGTCTTAACACATGTTTGGGGCCAGAATTCATATTACCTGTGTGGCCTAAATATCATAAATTGTAATTTTAGTTTAAAGTGGTCCTAGTGAGTAATATTTCCAGGCACCTGGCAAAAGCAAATGCCAGTCCTTTGAAGGAAAATACCTTCAATCCAGTCCTCAAAAGAATTCTAAGTCCCAAGAAATTCATGAATCCATGCCTGAAAAAATCACAAAACACAGGAGGAAATAAATCACCAAAAATGAGAGCTAACAGACCTACAAAGCTCGTAGGTATAGAATATAAACTAGGGATATTTAATTTATTTAAGAGAATAAAAGAAGGTTACAGGTATTACAAGGAATAAGTAACAAAAAGATCAGGTAAATTTAGAAAAGAATTCAATAGAATTTAAAGAAATAAAAATATATTACTTAGAGAAACTTGATGGACAGGGAAAACAACAAAGCAGACACATTTGAGAAGAGAATTTGTGAACTAAAATACTTGAAAAATTTTCTTAAAATGCAGTATAGAGGGGCCGGCCCCGTGGCGTAGCGGTGAAGTGTGCGCGCTCCACTGTTGGCGGTCTGGGTTCGGGTCCCAGGCGTGCACCGACGCACCCGTTATTGGGCCATGCTGTGGCGGTGTCCCACATAAAGTAGAGGAAGATGGGCCAGTCTTCCTCAGCAAAAAGAGGAGGATTGGTGTGAATGTTAGCTCAGGGCTGATCTTCATCCCCCTTCAAAAAAATGCAATGTAGAGATAAAGAGAAAAAAATATAAAATCAAGGTTAAGACATGATAGATAAAGAAAGATAATCCAATATACATATGAGTATCTCCAAAGTGAGGTAATGGACTGAGGAAGAGGCAATATTTGAAAAAAAGAATGACTAAGAATTTTCCAGAAATGTTGAAAAACTTGAACGCTTAAATCCAATAAGCCTAATATATCCCAGGCAGGATAAATGAAAGAAATACACAAATAGACATATTGTAGTGAATTTCAGAATACTAAACACGGTAGTACTATGTTCTCAGAGTGGGAGCGTGGGAAAAAAAGAAACAGAATAAAACCTGAAATCCTCACTAAAGGATCTTTGAAAGTATATAATTTAGGAGAAAGGAAAATAGTCCTAGAAGGAAAGTCTGAGATGTAAGAACAAATGGTGAGCAAAAAAAATAGTAAAATAAACATGTAGGAAAATTATATGTAAACTGTATAAAATAATATTGATGTCTAATTTGTGAAGTTTAAATCAAACAAGATAGGGGCTGGCTCCGTGGCTTAGCGGTTAAGAGCTTGCGCTCTGCTACTGGCAGCCCGGGTTCGGATCCCGGGCGCGCGCTGATGCACCACTTGTCCAGCCATGCTGAGGCAGCATCCCACATACAGTAATTAGCAGGATGTGCAACTTTGACATACAACTATCTATTGGGGCTTTGGGGAAAAAAAAAAGGAGGAGGATTGATGGTGTTAGCTCAGAGCCAGTCTTCCTCAGCAAAAAGAGGAGGATTAGCATGGATGTTATTAGCTCAGGGCTGATCTTCCTCACAAAAAAAAAAAATCAAACAAGATAGAACTATTATCCTTCCTGGACAACAGGAAGGAAGTGACAGAGTTAAAATATTCTTTAGATTTGTATTGTTGGGAGGAAGTTAAGATAATTGGTTAACTTCAGAGTTTATTAAGTTAAATCTGCGTGTTAAAATTTCTAGAGTAAACCACTAAAAAAATGGAACTATATAACCCTCAAATGAGAGAGGTAAAAAAGTAGAATGAGAAAAGTGAAGAAAAAAGCAACCACTGCCCAGAGAACTCAGAAGGAATCTTAAGGAAGGAGGAGGAGGAGAAAAGAACAGAAATACAGAAAATGAGATGATTAAAAAACATAAAATAAGATGGTAGAAATACATGGACATATAATCACAATAATTATAAATGGTCTAAGTTTTTGGTAAATAAGAAAGTCTGTTAGAGTAGATTAATAAAGTTCAATTCTATTTTGTTTATAATAAGCGTATCTAAAATAAAAAGCTACAGAAAGTAAAAGGATGAAAAAATACATACTAGGCAAATATACAAAAGAAAGTAGGTGTAGCTGAATTAATACCAGGCAAAATAGAATTTTAAAGCAAAAAGTACTTTTAGAGATAAAGATGGTCGTTAAATATTGATGAAAGGTTCAGCTCAGCAATAAGATAATCTGGTTTTCAACTTGAATTCACATAATCTAGCTCCAAAATATATAAGCAAAATCGCAGAACTCTTAAGAAGTTAACAGATCCATAACCATAGTGGGAGAGCTATCAGTAATCAATAGATTGATCAGATGAAAAATTATTAAGAATACACCAAGATAGGAACAACAGTTAAGTTGACCTAATGGACGCATTGTAAACACTGCACTCAACAGTTGGAGAGTGCACATTCTTTTTAAGCACAAACGGAACATTTCTAAAAATTAACCATATAGTGAGCCATAAAGCCAGTATCAAAAAATATCAAAGAATTGGTACTACACAGACCATATTCTCTGACCACAGTGCTATTAAGTTAGAACTAATAACAAAAAGATAACTAAAATTTCCCATTTTTCCAGAATGAAATATGTACTTATATATTATACACAGGTCAAAGAAGAAATCTTAATGGAATTGAAAAATAAGAGCAGAAATTAATGAAATAGTAAACAATGATACAAAAGGACCACAAAACCAAAAATTACTTTTCAGAAAGACTAATGAAATCAGTAACTTCTGAGAAGATAATGGCAGGAGGAAAAAAGAAGAAAAAATATAAGGAATGAAAAAAGTAATAGTTAAGATATATTGTGATGCAGACAACCCTAAAATTTTAAGTGCCTTAAAAATACAAAAGATTAATTCTTACTCTTGCTTCTTATCCAGTGTAGGTGCTTTGTGGTCACTTAGGTTTTTAGGCTGATGGAGTCTTCATTTCAATACGTACTTCCATGATTGCCACCTTAGGGAAGGGAACCGGCTGTTAAAGTTTCTTCCAAAAAGTGACACAATGTTCCATCCACATTTCATTGGAGAAAGCAAGTCATCTTGTGTCAGATATAATGAGCAAGTGCACTCCTACCATAGGCTTGAAGGAGAATCAGAATATTCATGAACTGCCCTAAATACTACCACTAGGGCATTACCAGAATGCAGCAGAGGGTTAAAAGATTGTAAGAGAATATTATGAACAACTTATGCCAATAAAGTTTAAATTTTTAAAAAGTTGTGACTATATACATTTCTACAACTATATAAATTATCAAAACTGACTCTAAGTAGAAAAGATAAATCCACTGTTAAATTTTTTCTCATAGAGAACACTAGACAAGGACAATTATGGACAAATTCTAATAGCAATAATTTCCTATTTTACATAGAGAATATGACTCTAGATACCAAAATCAGTCAAGGATAGAAGGAGAAAATTACAATCCAGTCTCACTCACGAATATAGAAGCAAAAATCTCAAAAGAAAGAAACTTTAGCATGCTGTGTCTAATAATACATAAAATGCATATAATTCATCATGCCCAAATTGAATTTATTCAAGGAATGAGAGATTGATTGAACATTAGAAAAAAATTAACATAATACATCACGTTTTAAAGAAGAACTGTGTGATCATCTCAATAGATAGAGAAAAAGCATTCAATTAAATTCCACAGTAGTTTAAGATTAAAAACCCTTAGCAAATTAGGACTAGAAGGGATGTTTCTTAGTTTCATAAAAGATACCTATGAAAATGTACAGCAAGTTCAGGAACAAGTTGAAGTTACCTCCTGTCACCACTGCTCAGCTTTGTACTGGAAGTTGTAGGTAGAACAGAAAGGGGAGATGAAGAGATGAGTTGGAAAGAAAGAAAACGGTCATTCACAGATTATATGAGTGTCTGCATAAAAACCACAAAAGAAACTCCAGATAGACCTTCTGGTGAGATAATATAGGAATTTACCAAATTGGAATTTATCAGATTGCTAGATATAAGATTATATAACAAGAATCCATTGCATTTCTGTACACTAACAGTGAACAGAAATTGTGATTAAAAATGGATACCATTTACAATAGCAACAAAAGTACAAGTTACATAGCAATAAATTAACACAAGACATGCAGGACCTATACACAGAAATTATAAAATTTTATTTAAAAACATTAAAGCTTGAGTAAATGGAGAGATACACTGTATTAATGGGCAAGAAGATGTAAGATAAAAATGTCTTTCTTCACATTGATCTACATAGTTACTGTTCTAGTCAGAATCCCGATGCTGTATATAACAAATTACAAGCTGGTTCTGAAATTTAGATGGAAGAACAGAGGGCCAAGAACAGCTAAGATACTTCTAAAGAAAATATTAAATGGGAAATCTTGCCCTATCAGGTATCAAAACTTTTAATATGAAGTTAGAGTAAATTAAAACATTGTGGTATTGGTGGGGAAGTATACAATAGACCAGTGTGATGTGACAGAATAAAGAGCCCAAATTCAAAGCCATGATTAGCAGAAAGTTGATTTATGATAGAATTGACACTGTAGATGAGTGGGGAAAAGATGGATAAATAGTACTTAGACAATTGGTTATCTGTATAGGAAAAAATGAAATTGAGTCCTATTCTCACACTTTAACAAAAATCACTTCCAGGTGGACTGAAGATCTAAATTGATTGACCAGAAAGTTTTTAGAAGATATTGGTAGTAGAGGAGAATATCTTTGTGACTTCAGGTTAAAGGAAAGTTTCTTAAATAAAAGCGTAGACCAAAAAGGAAAATATTGATAAATTCAACTATAATAAATTAAGAAACTTTGTTCATCAAGACACTTCACAGAGAAAAGACTAGCCACAAATTAGAGGGTATATATAACGTATACAACAAAAGATTGGTATCTAGACCATATAACAAGCACAACAATAACTTAGAAGAAAAATGGGCAAAAGATAGGCTCAGATGTCTCACAGAAGAGATAACCTAGACAGCCAGTAAATACATTTTCAGAGAAATGTAAATTAACACTGGCATGATATATTCATCACACTCAAAGAAATTCTGGCAGTGCCATATGCTTATAAGGATAAGAACTGCCTCCTGATTTTTATTTTCTTCTGATTGGTACCAAGTAATTTAATTGTTTCAAACTAACGAGCAGATACCACTCCTACAAAAATGCCATTGTTTTCCCTATCTATGAAGACACTGAAACAGAAAGGTTAAGTAACCTGGTGAAGGTCAGACAACTTGTATATGGCAGAGTTGAGATTTGAACCTAGACAGTGTATGTTAAAACCTGTACTCTTAATCATTAAGCTATACTTTCTCGTTACAAGAACAGTCTTTCTTTTTCATCTTTCTGGGCCTCAGCTTCATCATCTATAAAATGGATATAATATATACCTCATAAGGTTGCTCATGAGTGTTAAGTGAGAAAATATATATAAAGTGCTTAGCACAGCAGCATATAGTGTTGCTTAATAAATGTTAGCTGTTGTGGTTATAATTGTCATCATCACTGCCATTACCACTATTAAAAAGATAATTATTTGCAAGGTGTATTTTCTACTTTTTTTTTTAGTATTACTTACTTATAGCCTGATTTAAGATCCCATCTGATTTGTTTAGGCCCAGACTCTTGTTTTCATGCTTATGCTTATGTACTGTACATATAGAAACTAGCTCAAATGTGTCTATTTTACTAAGTAAATTGTACTTCCGTAAATTGTATTTACTATGTATATTGCTCTTTTTAAAAAGTGGTGGGTGACAGGTATATCCTAATTCATAGCAAGATGGGTCGTATTAGAGTGGTTGTTAGTAATATTTAATATGTACAGCTCTATAGAAGTCTCCAGTGGTAATGAGATTTGGCATTATGCTTTATGATTATAGTCATGCGTCGCTTAGTGATGAGGATGTGTTCTGAGAAATGCATCGTTAGGTGATTTTGTCATTGTGCGAACATCACCGAGTGTACTTACACAAACCTAGGTGGTATAGCCTATTATACACCTAGGCTGTATGGTACTAATCTTAAGAGACCACCATCATATATGTGGTCTGTCATTGACCAAAACGTCGTTATGCAGCACGTGACTATGTAGTATGGGACCTATTTTCCCAGTGGCTTTTGCTCTTCTTTCTAAGAGTGTGTTTGGTGTAGTGGCTAAGTATACAGGCTCTGGAGCCAGATTACCAGGGTTCACTTCCTTGCTTTGTACCATTTATTGGCTTTGTCATGAGCTTTGTAAGAGGCTTTCTGGCACATAGAAGGTTCAATAAATAGTAACTAATATTATTATTGTTATTTGTGGGTGGAAACAATGGAGGGGCACAAATCTGAGAAGGATAACTTTAGAAAGTGACAGGAATGGATATACAAAGTAGTTACTGAAAGAATCTTGTTATGACAAATAATAATGACTGCCAGATCTCTTATTGTTAGCCTGAGAATGTCGTCATACAGCTCACTTTGTATTTTTTATGTCTTAGGTTGGCTTTTTTGTGAAGAGAGGATGTTCCAAAGGCATGGTTGAAATTGAATTGTAAGTGTTAAAAGGGCTGAAACCACTCTTGCCTGTATAATCTCTTAGTTTATGTTCGTGCTTTCCTGATGACTTTAGAAAAGAGTAATATATAATATTATGGCATAAATATTGGAAATAATATTTAAAGAATATTTTATCTAGAGAAGTAGGTTTTTATTTTCTTTTAATTCATCTTTTAAAACCTAAATTGGAAGAATTTTCTTTTGGACAAATTCTTAAGGAAATTATAAATTTATGAGAGATAATGAAGTAGAAATATACTGTTAAATATTCATTAAGAAGTTGCAGTATTTTTTAGAAATTTAAGATGTCTAATAGTTTTTTGCTGATTTTGAAAGTAATGCTTGCTTGTTAAAACAATGCAAACAATATAGAAGTGTATAAAGTTGAAAGTGAAGGCTTTCTTGCCATAATTCTACTTCTAGAAATAACCACTGTTAATAGTTGGTGAATCTCATGTATGGCAGATACTTAGCACTTACGTCATCAATTCCCTCCGTCGTGATAGAAATTGATAATTCATTGTGGTATTCTTTTCCCTCGAGCCTAGATGTTCTCAATTTACCACTCTTGGAAGCCATATCTGATGGATCAGAGTTAGTATTCAAGATGAAACCAGTTGACCATCCTCGGTGTATATACTTTTCAGTCTTTTATACGTGAATATGCACATTGTTTAGATGATTTTTAGAGAGTGTTGTTTTTTGGAGTGTTTATAGAAAATCATGGGATTTTTGAGCTGAAATAGCTCTTAAAGATTATCTGGTAGTCCTGTCAATTTATAGGATATGAGGAAATAATCTTTTTACTCAAAAATTGTTGGAAAATTTTTTTTTTATGTAGAGATGAGAAATAGGCGTACATGGAAGTAAAAAGAAAACAAGAGATTATACTCAATTTATTAAAATATAATGATAATATTTTACTGAAGGATACAAAACCAAGACCTGAATAAATGGAGAAGCATATTATATTCCTAGAAACATAAAGTTAATATCATTATTAACGTCAGTCCTTTTCAAATTAATGTATAAATTTGATACAATTTCGACGAGAGTCTCAACAGGTAAGTTTACAGGTTGATTCTAAAGTTCATCTGGAAGAATAAATGTGGCAGAAAACCCAAGAAGATTTTTAAAAAGCAGAATCATGAATAACACATTTGTGTACCAGATGTTAAAGTGTACTATAAAGCCATTGATAATATGGTATTGGTACAGAAAATTAGAGCAGCAGAATGGAGAGAATAGGAGCAGATCTACATGTATATGAGAATTTAATTTATTGTAAAGGAGGCAGTTTAAGTGTGGGATATAAATTACTTAAATGGAGTTGAAATAATTGGCTATTAATTTTTTTAGACAGATAAATTTAGACCTTTATCAAACTTCCTATGCATAAATAAAATCTAAATGTGCTAAAAGTTGAGTGAAAAAATATGTAACTTTGAAAATAATAGAAAAAATATAGAATAATTTTTAAATCTTAAGAAAGGGAAAGGCGTTTCTAAGCAGAACAGGATACCCAATAACTGTAAAAAGGAAAGATAGGAAATTTAGGTTCCATAAAAATTCAGCTAAAAATAATGGTATCATAGTTAAAAATGAGTGACGGATGGGAGAAAACATTTTCAGCACAGATAACATTTACGTCTTAAAATTACGAAAATACCAATGTCTCATGGAAGTCAGTAAAAATTATAAACAGCTTAATAGAAAATAAGCAAAGAAAGTAAATGGCTAATAAGTATAAAAAGAGGCTATACCTCAAGGACGTCAAAATGAGGATTTTTTTCCTCTCAGCTTAGAAAAATTTAAGAATAAAATTCAGTATTATGAAGGTACAGGGAAGTGGATCCTGTCCTGCACTGTTCGTGGGAGTGTAGACAGTATATCCTATTTGGGAGTGTCTATCAGATTTTAAATACAAATATTCTTTGATCCGGTTACTATTCTAGAGAACATTTACTCATTTGCACAAAATTAGCTTTTTTCTAATTTTGGTAGTGAAAAATTATGAATAACCCAAACGTCCATCACCTGATAAATGGCTAAACAAAATGTGATATATCCGTACGATGGCATACTATTCAGCCTTAAAAAGGAAGGAAGTACTGATAGATCCTACAGCATGGGTGAGCCTTGAAAACATTATGCTTGGTGCAAGAAGCCAGGCACAAGAGACTGCATATTGTATGATGCCATTCATGTGAAATGTCCAGAATATGCAAATCCATAGAAAATATTGGTTGCTGGGGTATGAGCAGAGCAGAGAATGGGGAGTGACTGCTTAACAGCTGTGGGCTCCTTTTTTGAGTGATGAAAATATCCTGGAATTAGATAGTGGTGATGGTTGCACAATCTTGTGAATATATTAAAAACCATTGTTGATATACATATTCTTTCAACTGTACACCTAAAAATGGTAAATTTTATGTATATTTTACCACAATAAGAAAAACATTGAATTATACACTTTAAAATGGTGGATTATATGATATGTAAATTATATGTCAATTAAAAAAAATAACTGCCAAAGATACTCCTGGGTTAGCCTTGGTACCATTGATTGATCACAATGGCTTCTTAGATAGTGAAACTGAAACAAGTATATTAAGCCAGGTATATTTATAAATGCAGAGGGAGTATTAATATTCAAGTTTCAAAAGTCCATTATGAATGGTTGCAGGTCTTAAGCACTCCTGACTTTCTACTCGGAATCACCAAGACCTAGTTGTTTTCTTAGTTATCTAAAGAGGTAAACTTCTTGGTGTGCAGTAGCTACTAGCTCTGATAATCTAACCAGTGACTATTAACCAGAGTTCTGTTACCAAGTTTGGGACAATGGAAGGTTTCCATTTCCCCAAGCTTAGCATAGTTACATTGTGGTCACTTGTTCCAGTAGGGTTCACATAGCCTTGAGAGTACCAAACACAAAATGGCTCATCATTAGTTGTAGAAATTGTTATTGCTGTTGAACTAATGCATTAACTGGCCACGTACTCATTGAGTGGAATGGTGGATAGAATAATCTCCGGCATACATGTATGCAGTCATTTTTCAATATTTATTGAATACCTATCGCTGGGGGATATAGCATTCTGTCGTCATGGAATTTATAATTAGGGGCATGGGGGGGGCACAGATAAATAGGTAAAATGTATATTATATTAGTTGGTGATATGTGCTATGTAAAAAAATAAAGCAGGAAAGGAGGACAGGGAGTGCCAGAGTGGAGTTTATGATATAAAACAGGATGATCAGGAAAGTTCTCACTGAGAAAATAGTATTTGAGCAAAGTCATGAAGGAGATAACGCGATGAACATGGAGATATTTGGGGAAACAGCATTTCAGGTAGGAATCTGCAAATGCTGAGACTCTGAGGTGGTACCCAGTGTGACTGGATCACCTTGAACAGATTAGTAAAAGATAAGGTCTGAAAATATCAGGGAGCCAGCTCATAGGGCCTTGTAGGCCGATATAAAAACTTTGCATTTATTTTAAATAAGATATGAAGCCACCAGGATTTGAGCAGAGGGAGTGGCATGATGTAACTTAAATTTTAACTAGATCATTTAGGTTGCCTTGTGAAAAATAGACTGTAAGAGAACAGAGGCCAAAGCAAGAATATCAGTTAAGTGACTAATATAGTAACCCTAAGAGAGATGAAGATAGCTTAGGATTTGCTCACAATTTGGATATAGGCTTTGGAGGAAAGAGAGGCATCAAGGTGGACTGCAAGATATCTGGCATGCTTAAGAGCAGAGTTTCTGTTAACTGAGGTAGAGAAAGCTGCTGCAGGAGATTTGGGGATGAGATCAGAAGTTTGTTTTGGAGTAAATCATATTTCATTGAATTAAGATGCCACCACTTGTAAAATGCAGCTTCCAGTTTAACTATGACACAGATAGTTTGAAATGTGCATCCCAATTTCAGAAATGTTAAGATGTAAAAAAATAACAACAACAAAAACAAATGCTTTTCAGAGTCAATAAAACACGGAGTAAAGTTTGAGATGCCCAGTAGACAGTCAGGTAGAAATGTTCAATGGGCAGTTAGACGTATAAACCTGTCACTAGGGGAGAAGTGTGGGCCAAAGATAATACATTTGGGGAGTTGTCAGTAGGATGGATGAAATCACCAAGGGAGAAGATAACAGATGAAAGAAAGAAGTCTAAGAACTAAAACCTGTTGCAGTACAGCATTCAGAGGTTGAACATAGGAAAAAGGAGGAAAGGAAAGTGAGAAGAATTTGCTAGTGAGTCAAAAGCATATGCTACCTGGAAAGCTATGCTTTGAATAGTTTGAGGAGGAGGGAGTAATCTGTGTCTGATGCTGCTCATAGGTCAAGTAAAATGAGAAAAAACAACTTAATGAGATTAGCTTATCTTTGGCCTTTGACAAGGTTTGGGAGTGGTGGTGCTTTGATTTATTCCTGTTGAATATTCAAGGAAGGCCTGTTGAGAATATTTGTGAGCTGAGAACTGAAAGATAGAAAGGAGCCAACCATAAGAAGAACTGGGAGTGGAGTATTCCAGGCAGAGAGAATAGTTTGTGCAAAAGATCTAAGGTGGACTTAAGTTTGTTGTTGCTGAGGAATAGAAAAATGGTAATGTGGCTGGAGAGAAATGAGATATTTATTGTAGGATTTTGGAAAATACCATTTACTTGATTGAGGATATTCCCTTCGGTTCCTGATTTGGTATGCTTTTAATTATGAATAGGGAATGAATTTTATCAGCCTGTATTCAATTATCATATTACTTTAATTGATAAATTTGATTAATTTCCTGATGTTCACCTAATTTTGCATTCTTAGAATAAATTTAATGTGGTTATAATTTTTTGGATATATTGCTAGATTTGGTTTTCTAATGTTTCATTTAGGATTTTTGCATCTGTATTTTGTGAAATATTTGTTGTTTGAATGTTTGGTTAAACTTACTGGTAAAATCATTTGGGCCTAGAGTTTTTTGTTTTTTAATTTTTTAACTACTGATTTAATTTATTTAATGGTAATGGAATTATTTAGTTTTTCTATTTCTTGAAACATTGTAGGGTTTTATACTTTTCTAAAACATTTTTTCTTAGTTTTTAATTTTATTGGCCTAAATAATATCTTTATATGTAAGTTTATTATATTTGTATTATATTATGTTGTATCATAGACATATTATATAAATGTCTTCTGTAGTTTTAGTCCCCTCTTTCATTCACGTTTTTTTTCTTGATTTGAAAAAATTGACTTGTCAGTTTTATTAGTCTTTTTCAATGAATTAACTTTTGCATTGTGGTTTCTGTCTTATATCACTGTTTTCTGTTTCATTAATTTCTATTCTTACCTCTACTAATTCTTCTTTAGACTTCTGGTTTCTTTTATTCTTTTTCTAATTTCTTGAAATGGGTATTTATTGTACTAATTTTCAGTCTTTTGTTTTCCTTAATATAAACAGTTAAGGTTACAAATTTCCCTCTCAGTATTGCTTTTAGCTCCATCCCCAAATTTTTGTGTATAGTATTTTCCTATTTTTTAATTCTGATTATTTTCTTCATTTCCTTTGTGAGTTCATAGTTAGAAGTTGTTTCAAAATTTTAATGTAGTGATTTTCTTGTTATGTTTTAGTATTGATTTCCACTTTGATAGTAGTGTGGTAAAAACTATACATATATATATATGTGTGTGTTTGTATATATATGGTCCTTATGGTACCAATCCTTTGAAGTTTGTTGAGGCTTACTTTTTGTAGTGAGTTTTTATAATTGTTACCTGTTTGGTTGCAAGAATGAGTATTCTGCTGTTATATGTGCAATGTTCTGTATTTGTCCATTAGTTCAAGCTTATTAATTATATTGTTAAATCTTCTACATTTTTGATGATTTCAGTTGTCAGATCAATTCCTTAATTACTGAGAAAAGTGTACTACACTGTCCCTCTGTGTAGATTTGTCAGTTACCCTTGTCCTGTCAGTTTTTCTTTATGTATTATTAGTTGCAGCTAAGATTCAAATTGTTCTGTCTTCCTAGTGAATTGAACTTTTTATTGTTTTGTACTGACTTCTTTATCTTTTGAGTCTTTTTGCCTTAGAATCTATTTAATTTGCCGTTAATGTGGTTAGCAGCTTTCTTTTTAAGTATTTTCCTGGTTATCTTTTTTCATTCATTTATTTAAAGTTTTTAACTTTTGTTATCTCCTTTAACAAGTGTAGCTGGGTATCGTTTTTTAGTCTTTTAAATAATTCACATATTCCATTTACATTTATTGTAATTATTTATATGTTTGTACTTATCTGTACTGCCTTATTCTGTACTTATTTGTCCCACTTTTCAATATTTCTTTTCTCTTCTGCCTTCGTTTGGATTTTTTTGTTAATTTTTCTGTATTGTTTTGGAAATTATGCATTCTTCTCTTGTTTTAGTGGTTATTAGAATTTTTAACACAAATACTTTAATAGTATCTAGACTTAGTTAAATATCTCTATCTTCCTATCGAATAGTTAAAGACCTTAGAGTACTTTTAGTAACTTCTCAGAAGTCATATGCTATTTTATTTTATCTTATTTTTTAAACTCTTCAGGATATAATAACTATTATTAATTTATACTGTGAATGTTTGTTTAGAATTACCCCACATATTTTGTTTGCTTTGCTTTTCATTCTTTCTTGCATTTCTGCTCTGTGCTTTGGGATCTTTCTTTCTGCCAGAGGACATTCTTGAAAGTTTCCTTTAATGAGGATGTTCTAGTAGAACACTCAATTTTTGTCTGAAATGATGTTACTTTGCTCTAAATCTTGACAGATATTTGCTGGATATAAAATTCTGCATTGATAGGTGTTTTCTTAGCACATGCAAAGTATAATTCCATTGTCTTTTGATGTGAATCTAATCTTAGTTTCTTTGATAATAATTCTCTTTTTCTTAAGAGGCTTTTGAAATCATATCTCTGTTTTTGGTGTTGTATAGTGTCACATCATATATTTAGGTGTAGATTTATTTTTTATTTATTTTGCTTGGGATTTAATGAGCTTCTTAAATCCATGGTTTGGAAAATTCTTATCTGTTTTCTCTTCAAATATAGGCACTGACCCAGTCTCTGTCTCCCTTCTAGAACTCATATTAGACAGCTATTAGGCTTTCTTAGTCATCTGTGTCTCTTAACATCTTTCATATTTTTAATTTTTTTATGTTTTTGTGCTGCATTCTAGATCCATTTCTCTATGGTGCTTTTTCGGATCTGCTTGTTCTTTGCTTATATTGTCAATCTTTTATTTCTTAAAATATAGTAAACATACTTATTTTATACTTGGGTCCATTAATTCCAATATGATTTCTCTTTGGTTTTTTTGCTAGTACTTACTCTTGATGCTTTGTTTTGTGTATGTGTGTATGTTTCCAGTGAGCTGTTCCTTTCTCTTTGAACTTTATGTTAATTGAGGATAAAGTTAGATTCCTGCAGAGGGAGTTTTTATTAGCTGCTGTCACAGACCATTGGAGGATACTTTCAATCTAGTATCACAATATATAGAATTCTCAGTTTGAGAGTTTTGAAATTCCTTGGGTATGTCATGTAACTTCAAGATACAAATGTGTTTGAGACTGACTTGTGGTTAGTAATTCTTGGGGGAGATTTTTTTGCTTGTTGCACAGTTCAAGGCAGTTTACCTTGCTATCTCTAGTGGTGACATTGGTGATGGAGTATTTCTAGTTTACCCTTACACTGAGGGTATGACTTTTTGGGGGTGGTTTCTGGTAGACTCTCCACTTTGGGTAGCTCTGGGCTTTGTCTGCAACACCCTTCTCCCAGGACATCATGAAAGTGAATGGGCAAGTTACCTGGTTGGCCAAATGCCCTTAGAGTGAAAGCTGATTTCATTTTTCCATTTCCGAGTTCCTACCTGCTCTGGGATTTTGGCCAGAATTCCTTACTTTCATGCTAACTCATAAATGCATTTATGAAGATATTTTAATATTTTATTATTTTTAATTGTTTACAGCAAGAGGATCAAAAAGGGTACTTTATTAGTCATTCTGCTGGAAATGAAAGTTTAAACTACTTTTTTTTTTAAGTCCTAAAATTTTACTGTTTGGAGTGTTCTGATTACAGTATAGTTTATATATACAACATTTACAAATTATCATTGTTATTTAGCCATTGGATACCAATAATTTATCTTTCTACCACATGCTGCTGATTCCCAATGAAGAAGATGGATGAATAGATGAGAGGTGTGGAGCAGTAGTACTTCTAAAAGCAAGAAATAAGTAAATACCCTTCTTTCAGATTCTCTATTGTTTAATGTTCCTTTATAGCCATGTGATGTAGTCCCCTCTGAATTCAGAGTGGAGTACATGATGAGGAAGCCATGGGCTACCTTTGTGGGCAGGCTAGTTTTAATGACTGGAAATGCATATGCAAGAGTCGTTTTTCATTCATACATTTTCCAAGTAGAAGGAGTTTCAAGTTTTAACTGTTACATGCTTTTATGTACCAACCCATTTTGAATTGCAGTCAGCCTGTGTGATTAGAGAATAGCATAATGATTAAAGGATGAAAACTCCAGATATGCAAATCCTCTGGCAGTGTTTGGAAGTTAGTATTGGCATTTGTTTTAATGTTATTTTAATAGTTTAAATAATTTTGAATGTTGAAAGAGGAGTAACTTATATGTGGTCAGTTATATATTACTAATAAAATGTCAGGATTTCCTTTTTTGGAGGGGCCAAAATATCAAAAGGAATAAAAATTATGATACTCCTGTCTGACAACCTTTGGTGCAAGAGACTTTGGGAAATTTTGTTTCTAAAATAATGTGTATATTTTGAATATAAACATTTTTAAATTATTTTTTAACTAGGTTCAAAATTTCTGGAAATCTTGTAATCACCCGTGAGATTGATGTGGCAAAAAATCAGTCCTTTTGGTTTATCAACAAAAAATCTACAACCCAGAAAATAGTAGAAGAGCAAGTTGCAGCCTTAAATATTCAAGTGGGCAATCTTTGCCAGTTTCTACCTCAGGTATGTGAACATTAGATATAAAGATGGGAAAATTTTGTACGTAGTGTCCCCTTTTTTTTTTTTTTTTTTTTTTTTACAAGAGGCAAGACATTTGCAAATAGGCTCACAGTTTATTTATTTATTTATTTATTTATTTTTTTGTGAGGAAGATCCGCCCTGAGCTACCATCCATGCTAATCCTCCTCTTTTTGCTGAGGAAGACCGGCTCTGAGCTAACATCTATTGCCAATCCTCCTTCTTTTTTTTTCCCCCCAAAGCCCCAGTAGATAGTTGTATGTCATAGTTGTACATCCTCCTAGTTGCTGCATGTGGGACACGGCTTCAGCATGACCGGAGAAGCAGTGCATCAGTGCGCGCCCGGGATCCGAGCCCGGGCCACCAGTAGTGGAGCTCGCATACTTAACCACCAAGCCACGGGGGCCGGCCCCATAATGTTTCCTTTTTATGCTGTATAAGAATGTAAATTCTTTTCAAGGGATGTTGTACTGGTTACAACAATGGAAAATTATAGTTCATTTTCTTTCCTCAGAAACGATAATTTGATTATATATGTCCAAATTAAATAAAAACTAAAATGTGAAAGCATTTATCAGCTGATGTCAGACTATCTATTTTTTTTTTAACTTCTAACATTCTAACTGATGTGTGGTAGATAATGATCATTTCAATCCAGGGGACTATTTTTTTTTTTTATTTCCAAACTATTTATTATATGTATATAAACATTTCAACCTGTTAATACTGACAGAAATTTTTTAAAGGTTCTCAAGAAGATGACAGTTTATACCCTAAGTTTATCTTTATTATTTTAAAGAATAATGTATATGAAAGGACAGGGTTTATATTAAGATTCACTTCTCAAAATAGTTTTTTTCTTTTAAATGAGTTTCTGCTTGATAGGTGTGATCATTGAGTGACATATGTTTTGAAGATATTTATAAACGATAATAGTTGGTAATATTTAAGTTTTGTGCTCTAGGATAAAGTTGGAGAATTTGCTAAACTCAGTAAAATTGAACTCCTTGAAGCTACTGAGAAGTCAATTGGTCCTCCAGAAATGCACAGATACCATTGTGAACTCAAAAACTTCAGGGAGAAAGAAAAACAGCTAGAGGTATTTATAAGTAGACAACTTATTTTTATTGTCCCTCATTGATTTCTATGTCTCAAAATGTGGGTGTAGTTCTGATTCATGGAGTGAATTCATATGTTTGTGATTTTTTTTTCACCCAGGGTTGTGTTGCTAATGTTAATTAAATTAGGTGACAAAAAGTGAGAATGGATTCCATAATGTAAAGTTTGAAAAATTTGACTATCATTTTGTCAAATACCTGTTATTAATTGAATTTCTAAGGAACCAATAATAGAATTATAAAGTATTTTTTTCTCTCAGGAAGTTTCAGTATTATTCTTTTATTCGTTCAGTATTTGTTAAACACCTGCCATGTGCCAGGCACTCTGTAAGGCTTTAGGTAGTACAGCAGATACCATATAGCTTTTAATGTCGCCTCTCTGTTGAACCAGTTTCCGTACGTTTTCAGTTGCATGAGGGTAGACTTAAGAGAACTATACATTTAGTTGCAGTGTTGAGTTTTTATTTTTACCTTTAATAAACATGTAAATTAAGATGTCCTTTTATATCATGTCATTTGAAACGGTGTTTTATTTAATGAATCATTTTCCATGTCTTAGCAACTAAAATAAATTCAGTAAACTTTTGTAATAAGAAATCTCATAAACAAATGCTTTCTCTTAAACTGTAACTGTCATACTTGATGATATGTTTTGTTATAATTTAATATTATTTTTATTATTATACTTATTCAGCTTGAATGACCAAAAGAGTTGTAATTATTTTATCCTATGTCAGATACTCCATCAGTCCTTTTACCCTTCCCCACATCAAACAATCTAGTACTCCCTTCTGAAACCCTCATGGAAACTACCTACCATCCTCTGAAGGAAAACAAGCATATATTCTACTAGGTTCTCAGTACATCTTTGCATTTGTTAATTCACAATATAAAGGCTGAATGTTAGCTTTTCTTTATCTCATTTCTAAGTTCTTAAGTCATGGATGTTCATAACATACTACATAACATAATCATAATACTACTTTTCATTTGTATATCATGTTATAGCTTTTGTTGAACTTTGATCTACAGTAAGTTGAATTGCTTCTCCCCTTGAGGATTGAAATGGGCCAGATATGTCTCTTCTCTTTAAGCAAGAAAAATTCAGGCTCAGAGAGGCGGCAGAGCTTCCTCATAGCCCCATGATTAATAAGTTGTAGAGCCTAGACCGGAACTCAGGTCTGCACGTTAGTTTTACACAGTTGCTAAGATCTCCTGTGGAATTATTTATTGTGAAATTTTGCTAGCATGTGCGTTTTTTATTAAAAGATTTGACCTGTTGTCTTTTTTCACTTAAACTAACTGTTAAATAAATATTTATTTTAGACCTCATGCAAAGAGAAAACTGAATATCTAGAGAAAATGATTCAGAGGAATGAAAGATACAAACAAGATGTGGAGAGGTTCTATGAACGTAAGCGACATTTAGATTTGATTGAGATGCTTGAAGCAAAAAGGCCATGGGTGGTAAGTCTTAGTTATTAGAGACAAAAGTAGTGGTTCTTTAACAGAAAAGTTATAAAGAAGGCAGTAATTATTGTGTATTAAAAGTAGTGCTTTTGTTCATTTTTGCTTTATATATCATACATCATAAAATTTATCTGTCTCATTTTGTGTTATATAGCTGTGTGCTATTTTATTATTATTATATAAGAAATAACACTTGATTAAATCTATGCCCTTAACTTCCATATTTGAGTCCTCAACAGATAGTTGTGTTTTATAAAATGTTAGTGATCTAAAAATGTTTACACGTGTAAAAATTAAATCTTTGTCCTCAGGTCACTGGACATTTGCTTGGAGTGTGGCATTAATATCGACTTCAGCTACAGGAATCTATAGCTGAAGAATGTTAACTGTAATCTTCTACTCACATGCATTATAAGTTTAGTGAGGCTACTGTTTTCTTTCTAATCACTGCATGATGTATATTTTATTATTAAAGACCACAATTCACGCTAAAGATTCAATTCCCTCAATGCCATTACTTTACAATGGCTGGAACAAAATAAGAAAGTTTTATAATGTTTGTTCCAAGGTTAGGATGGAAATAATTATTAGATTAGAAAAATATGTGCCTATATTTGTGGCCCTCTCCCCACCCCCGCTTCACGCTACCCTGTCCCGTAATTCCATTACTCTTAAACTTGTTTCTTTCTTCAGTTTGTTTTGATTACATTTTTCCTATATTCATTATTATTCTTGCACCTACTTTATCTTTGTCTTATGATTTCTTGGTTTCCCCTTTTCTTTCTCAGATTGATTTCAATCTTTTTCCCTTATTTTCTTTTTTTGATTTGCTCTGTTTATGTTCTTTTCTCTTCTTCCCTTTCTTCATCCCTTCATTCTTACTGTGTGCTCTCTTAGCACTCCACTTATTTTTTTTAGCAAATATTTATTAATTCCTGTGACATGGCAAGTATCATTTTCATCAGCATGCTTCTTTTTGTTTTCCTTTTGACCCATTTTCCTTTTATTTTTTTTTTTTCAGTTTTACTTTTCATAACTGAGTTTCTTTTGCTTCTTTATACGTTGTTTTATCTTTATTGGGAGATTAGAGGAGAGCCTCATTTTAGTAGCCATTAGGATATAAGTTTCACAAACAGGAAGAGATGGAAGTCAGAGTCCAGCTTAGTGGTAGAGATGAATGCTCAGTGAGTATCAGTCAGGACTCTTAGTGAATCATTGTGTTGGTGTTTACTTGTTTTGAAGTTGTTTCACAGGGAGATTTTATAGTAATAGACTACCAAAGGGATGTCAAAATAGTCTTTTCATAGATTTGGTTTCTGCCTTTACCTTGATTTTAGTATATGCATTTGTTTAAACTAAGTACATTAACTTCTGTTTCTTGCATTCGTTTCAAGGAGTATGAAAATGTTCGTCAGGAATATGAAGAAGTAAAACTAGCTCGTGACCGAGTGAAGGAAGAAGTGAGAAAACTTAAAGAAGGGCAGATTCCTATGACACATCGAATTGAAGAAATTGAAAAACAGCGGCACAATCTGGAGGCTAGAATCAAAGAGAAGGTACGTGTCTGGCTCAATTTTGGATTTCCTATATTTTATTTTAGCAAATACAAAAAATATTTTGTAGATTTACTTGTAGTTTTGGCTGCTTAAGTTCTTTAGGAATCCTACCCCCACAGGGCTTTCAAGGTCCTAATTATCACTGTTGGAGGGTTGCTACTTTACAGAAATTCTGAGATGTAAAAAGAGAAAAATGAAATGTGACTGTTTAAATTACAAGAGGATTCAGAGTAGTATTCTTAGAAATACTGAACTATTTTTTTGAATTTATTACATCTGCTTTGAAATTATATTCCCTCTTAGAGCAGGGTGGTAGAGAAAACCTGATGGTTTTTTAGAATAAATACTATAATGGCATATGGAATATTCTCTATATTTTGAAAATATAACTTAAATTTTTATGGTCACGGCTTTTCACCTTTAGGGGAGATTTTGGAGTCAGAGATTATTATGAGAATGGTTTAAACTATAGACCCTGCTATCCTATAGGATAGTCTTTAGGGTCAGATGAAATAACATGAGAAAATAGATGTGAAGAGATAAACATACGTATGCATATTGCTGCAGCTATTTTTAATATCAATAGGAATAACCTTTTATAGTTTTGCAAATGACTGTTGGTATCTTTGGTGATAATTACCAAATTTGGTTATCGATAATAACCAAACCAAATTTGATAATTTGGTTTGAAAGAAATCACGGAAAAGCGTGGGTGGGGCCACATTATTGGCTTGCTTGAATTTTTAACCAACTTCCCCCCTTCTGGTTCAATCTTACAGGCAACAGATATTAAGGAGACATCTCAAAAATGCAAACAAAAGCAAGATGTTATAGAAAGGAAAGATAAACATGTAAGATTTTGTATTGAAATTTTTATTATGCTAATTTGCCTTAACTTTTGTGTTCAGGTCTGGATTATAAGAAAACTTCTTGTTTGGGAATTGTCTAAGATCCTCCTCATTCCTTATTTTTTTATCTTCATCTGTGAGGGAAACTAAGATTTGGAAGTATAGCAGTTGCACAGAGGATAATTGGGAAGAATTGCTCAAAACTACCCATAGATATGCGTTATGATCTTTGTAGCTGGGTGGCTATAATTTTTTAATAGGGTAATGATAAAATTGGATTTAGTTATCTTAATAGCAGAAATTGAAATATAAGAGATTATTCTGTTGTTTGTTTATGTTATTATTTTAGGATGATTGGGCAAGAAAGTGGGCTTTTTAGCTAAGCGATCCCCAAATTATGCGGGGGTTCTGTTCTCCAGGACCATTCAGAAGCTAAATTTTGACTCACCTGGCTTAGGGGAAGACACATAACTTGAAGCATTCCTGGTGGTTGAAGCATTATGTTAATCTACCAGTTTTCAGCCTCTCCCCTTTTTCTATGCCTTTATCTTCAAGTCCCAGGCCTCTCTCATTTAATTTCTCCAGAGAATAAACCTCAAATTTCCATGGCAGGAGCTTGGCTGCCAGTGTTGTGTGTTCAGGGTGTGTGTATAGAAGGGGTGCGGAGGCATTGGGGTGGGCGGTAGGGTAGGGGTAACTCTGTTACATGATGTCTTCTTTTTGAAGGCTCAACAGTATTTTAATTTATTTATAGCAAAATCTTACTTCTCCAAATCCCTGTAAAATATGTACATGGCAATTATCATTGTATCCAAATTGCTGGTGGAGAAATAACAAAATTAAATGACTTACAGAACTCAGAAGTAACTCCTAGTGCCACACTCTACTTCCCCTAATATAAAATTAATTTTTCTACAAGAATGTTATTAAATATGTGATATCTTTTATACTTGACATTTCCTAGTTCTAAGAGTCTCGGGGATGTTTTTTTTTAGAAGAGTTAGCTCTTTTCTTGTCCTTTTCCCTTTCACGTCCCCTTTACACCATAGTTCCTATAATATGCTGCTAAATTAGTTGTCCCTCTGCTATCTTTTATCTTCTGAATATTTATTGAATTCTCCAGCTCTTGATGTCTCCTCCCTTATTCCTCTTGTCCTTGTGGGATTGAACCCTTTTTACTCCATTTCTGTTATTTAGTTAGACTTTAGGGAGGAAAAGCCATAAAGGTTCATCCTTAAAACCCCCAACAGGAATACCAGGTTCATAGGTTGTCTAAGGTTGAATCATCCTTGCTGTCTTGTCATGAATCTTACTTGGTATTTTAATACTTTGCTGGATTCAACTAGAAAATCTTGTATTTAGAATTTTTTGCACCATGTGAGATTGGCCTGAAATTTTATTTTGTTCCATCCTTAGCTGGTTTTGTTCAGTGTTAATGCTGATGTTTTAAGTAGTTTAATTCTTCTTGGACCAATATTTTCTTTTTTCTCTTATCATAATTGCCAGGGTTTATTACTTTTATAAGTTCTTGAATTTTTAGCTTAATTTTTAATAAGTACATCTTACATGTGTTGATATGTGCTTTTATTGTTTTTCAGTTTAAGATTTTATAATTCTCATTTTAATGTTTTTATTCATTTAAGGTTATATAGGAGTTTTTATTGTTTTAATTTCTATAGATGGAATTTTTAAGCTTTTTTTAATGTAGAATTCTAGTTATATTGCTTTATGGTTAATAAATGTGGCCTTTATGACTATTTTAGAATTTTTTGAGACCTCTTTTGGACTTTTATGTTTTGTTTTGTACATGTTCTGTATATATTCAAGAAGAATGTGTGTCCTGTCTTTAGGTGTGGTTTTATGTATATATATAACAGGCTTACTATAATTATATTATGCAAATGTTCTACTTCTTTATTTTTTTACCTACTTGACTTACCCATTTTTAAAGTGTCAGTATCTTCTTCTGTGAGTGTAGATTTGTTCATTTTTCCTTCTAATTATATTCTTGCTTTCTAGGTCTTAAAGCTTTATTGTTTTGTTCTGTCTGCATCATGTTTTGATTTATTTTATCTGCTGTAAATAATATATACTAGGTTTTGTTTTGTTGTTTTTTTTCAGTTTGGTGTGAGACACTTTTTCATACAGTGAGGGAGTTTAGCCAGTTCACATTTACCATTGTTTTCTACCTACTATTGTTTTTGTTTGATTACTCCTGCTTCCCTTTCTACTTTCCGTTGCTGTTGATCAAAATTTTCTTATTCCATTTTTTTCTAAAGTTATATATTCTAAGACTATTCTACTGATTACTCTTAAAATTTAAATAAAAAGGTTAATCAGTATTTTTATTCTTCCACTTAATTAAGATAACAATCTTAGCAAGCTTTTATTTTTTCTTCCTCCACTCCATGTCAATATCATCAGAAATTTTACTTCTCAGTTATTTATTTATTTATTTTAAACTTTATTTATTTATTTTTCCCCCCAAAGCCCCAGTAGATAGTTGTATGTCATAGTTGCACATCCTTCTAGTTGCTGTATGTGGGACTCGGCCTCAGCATGGCTGGAGAAGTGGTGCGTCCGTGTGCGTCGGTGCGTGCCCGGGATCCGAACCCAGGCCGCCAGCAGCGGAGCGCACGCACTTAACCGCTAAGCCACGGGGCCGGCCCTCAGTTATTTAAAATGTTATTTTTTACTGTCTGTATTTATTTAGACTCAATGGTATGTTTTGTTGGCTTATTTGATCATGTTACTTCTTATATCACACTTCTGGCTCCCTCTTTTGAGGAGGTACGGATTTTTTTGTTTTTTTCTTGCTGGATATATTCTATAGGTGTTTTACCAGAGGTTCTTTGGGTGATGAACTTTCTGAGTCCTTTCTTTTTTGCACTCACTCTGGAATATTAATATGGCTCGTTATGGGCCATACTTTCTTACTTTGTTGAATGTGTTGTAATTTTTTGTTGAAACCAGACAGTTTAAGTAGCATGATGTGTCAACTCTGAAATCAGTCGTTCTCTTCTTCCTTAGGCTTGTCGTTGTTGCTGTTTTTTTTTTAGTTACTTTCCCAACTAATTCCATGAAGTCTGTACTCTTTGTTGTATATGACTACTGAACTCTCTGCTCTGTTAGCTTAGTGGTTAGCTAACAATTGGACAGATATTTCTTTGAATGATTGGAACCAGTATGTCTCCTAGTCTTTGTTGAAGGTCTCTGCATGCGTGTTGGGTCACACCAACATGCAGCTGGGCAGTGTTTTCAACCAAGATTCAGTCATTTTTCTTGAGTAAATGCTCCCTGAATTGTTGCAAGCTTTGGTTAATTTCCAGTGCTAGTTTACAACTCTCTTTTGACCTTCACTTCCTGTTTGTACAGAGTGTCAAAGTGAAACAGTCTTTGCACAGGGCCTCTGTGAGAGCTTAAGGCCTCCTCACATCTTTCTGGAGCATGTGCACAGCCCTGGGTATGCACGCAGTCCTCCTCGTGCACATCGCCTTTTAGATTCCCAGGAGCTTCTAAGGCCTCCTGTGGGCATCTCATTCTCCAGCTTTTCCTTGTAAGTTTTTTGGTTAGGTTATTGTTTGCCACACCTGTTATCCTGCACCAGGGAGCTTGGTGCTAAACAATTGCTGCTGATTGTTTTTTGACAGATGCCTCCAAGGAAAAGGGTGTTTTGCAGTGAGCAAGCTGAGGAGTCAGGTCAAATAAGAAGAACCAGCTCAAAAATGTTGCTGGGGTTTTTAATAGGAATTGCATTAAATGTGTATATCAATTTGGAGAGAATTGAAATCTTTACCATGTTGAGTCTTCTGATCTGTGAACATGGTATGTCTCCATTTATTTAGATCTTTGATTTCTTTCATCAGCATTGTGTAGTTTTCATCATACACATCCTCTATGTGTTTTGTTTGATTACAACCTAAGTTTTTCTTTTCTTTTCACTCTCTCTCTCTTTTTGATTCCTTGGGATTTTCTGCATAGATAATCATGTCATCTACAAATGGGGACAGCTTTATTTCTTCCTTTCTGACTTATATGCCTTTTATTTCCTTTCTTGCCTTATTGCACTGGCTAGAACTTCCAGAATTGTGTTGAATAAGAATCTTAAGAGTGGACATCCTTGCCTTGTTCCTGATCTTAGGAGGAAAGCATTCAGTTTTTCACCATTAAGTATAATGTTAGCTATAGGTTTTTTATAGATACTCTTTATCAAGCTCAGAAAGTTCCACTCTATTCCTATGTTTCTGAGAGTATTTATCATGAGTGAGTATCGGAATTTTGTCAAATGCTTTTTCTGCATCTATTGATATGATCATGTACATTTCCTCTTTAGCTTGTTAGTATGGTAGATTACATTGATTGATTTTTGAATATCAAATCAACCTTGTATCCGTGAAATAAACCCTGCTTGGTTATGGTGTATAAATAAATATATGATTCCCTTTACGTATTGTTGAATTCTATTCGCTAACAGTTAAAAGGATTTTTTTGTGTGTGTGAGAAAGATTAGCCCTGAGCTAACATCCAATGCCAATCCTCCTCTTTTTGCTGAGGAAGATTGGCCCTGGGCTAACAGGCATGCCCATCTTCCTCTACTTTATATGGGATGCCGCCACAGCATGCCTTGACAAGCGGTGTGTCGGTCTGCGCTCGGGATCTGAACCTGTGAACCCCGGGCAGCCGAAGCGGAGCACGGGAACCTAACCACTGTGCCACCGGGCCGGCCCCAACAGTTAAAGGATTTTTGTGTCTATATTCATGAAGGATATTGTTCTGTAGTTTTCTTTTCGTACTGGCTGTCTGCTTTTGCTGTCAGGGTAATAACTAGCTTTATAAAAATTCTAAGAGTATTCTCTCTTCTTCTATTTTTTGGAAGAGATTGTGTAGAATTGGTGTTAATTCTTCTTTAAATATGCTAAATAATTCTCAGCACTATCTGGGTGTGGAGATTTCTTTTTTGGGGAGTTTTAAAATTATGAATTCAATTTACTTGATAGTTATAGGGCTATTCAAATAATCTCTTTCATGTTGGATGAGTTGTGGTAGTGTTTTTTGAGTAATCGGTCCATTTTGTCTAAGTTTCCAATATATGTGTGCATAAATTCTCTTATTATCTTTTTGATATCCGTATGGCCTGTAATGATATTGATACCTCTCTTTCATTCCTGATATTGGTAATTTGTGTCTTCTCTGCCTTTTTTTGGTGAGTCTTGCTAGAGGTTTGTTAATTTTATTGCTTTTTTTGAAGAACCAGCTCTTCGTTTCATTGATTTTCTCTGTTGTTTTTCTCTTTTCAATTTCATTGATTTCTATTCATGTCTTTATTATTTCCTTTCTTCTGCTTGGCATGGGTTTATTTTGCTCTTTCTCTAGGTTCTTGAGGTGGAAGCTCAGATTATTGATTTGAGACTTTTCCTCTTTTCTTGTGTGTGGACTTAATGCTATAAATTTCCCTCTCATCACTGCTGTAGCTGTGTCCCACAAATTTTAATATATGGTACTTTTATTTTTGTTCAGTTTAATGTATTTTTTTCACTTTTCTTGAGATCACAATTTGTTGATCCATTCACCTGTTGATGAACATTTAAGTTGTTTCTGGTTTGGGGCTATTACCAGTACAGCTGCTATAAGAATTCTTGTACAAGTTTTTTTATGAACATGTGCTTTCATTTCTCCTGGATAATTTCCTAGGAGTAGACTATCATAGGTGTACATATAACTTTTGAAGGAGTTGCCACACTGTTTTCCAAAATGATTATTAGTAATTTATTGTAATTGTAATTGATAAAAGTTGACTTGTTATGGCTTAGAATTTTTTAAAAAATGGTTCTTTACTATAAATAATTTGAGAAACACTGCTTGGAGTAGCCTTGGAGGAGTTAGCTTTAGGTGGCTACAAGGACTCTCCTTACATTGTATAAGATAAAGCAGAGTGAGTAAAGATAGAAGTAGGGTGATGGATTTGAAAGCAGGAAAAGTGCTCTTATCAGAGTACTCTGATTTTAACTATGCTATTAATGAAGTGTGAGACAAGGCCATTAGCTGAGTGAGTAGAGGGCTTGCAGCAATAAAGGATTGAGGAAGGAGGAAAACATATGAACTCATCCCAGAATGAGAGCACACATCTATTAGAGAAATGTAATAGGTTTGTCTGGTAGTTCTGAGTGCCTGTTTAAGTTTTGTGGCCCTAAATTTAAAGTAACACCCGTTTTTGAGAGTTTCGCCAGTTAGTTCAGTTGCTTACATACAGATAGATAGAAGATATATAGTTAGGTTTAATAAGGACTAGGCTTTTTCCTGGCTAATGTGACGTAGGAATGGTGGAGAGTCAAGAAGTCTTTGCAAGGGAGTGGTTCTAGTGCTGGATTGTGGAGCCTCAGCAGGTGAAGGAAAGAAATGAAGGGGATGTTGGATTGTGGAAAGGTAATAGGGTCAATGGATGGCAGGACCCTGTGGGGTTAAAGGATAGTTGGAATAGGAATATCATAATAAGTAAAACGGAAGGAAAGGAAGTGGTGATCAAAGAGTAGGATTGTAGAAATACAGTTTTCAGAGGTAGTATGATTTTTGGTGATTTACGGGATTAGAATATAACCATAGGAGAAGATGACTAAGGAGGGGTTTAGGAAAAGATGGTTGAAATTGAAAAAGTCAAGGAACACAGAAGCCAAAGAGGTAGACTGATTTTCTGTATGTATGTTGAAGTGCCATGATGGACTGGTGTAATGATGGAGAGGAAGACAGTGAGTCAGATGCTAAAGTCATCAATGAATGAAAGGGGTGAGGAAGGATTTGAGGGAGATAGTTAACATAGCAACAGAGATAATGGGTGGTAAAGTCTGATCTCATCGTCTTCAAAAGAACTGAAGTGGGGCTCAGTTAATGGAGGAAATAGTACAGTGGGGATTAATGAGGGCATCCTCCCCACCTCTGAATCCTGAAGTACCCTGAAGGATTATGGCAGGAAAAGGTCACCAACTAGAGAGGGCTCTAGGGAGAAGAAGTGTCTTCCAGGAATAGCCAAGTTTTAGTTAGAACAAGAAGAGAGAACATTTAGAGAAATTGAAGATACAGAACAATATGGGGATGGTGTCCTAGTGAAAAGGGTGATTTAGGAGGCTTAGCTGTGCTTGAGCTAAACATGGATATGATGGGATTAGTTATGGTAATTTCTTGGATGAAGATGGCAAATGAGTTAAAGTTAGAGCTCAGAAAACTTAGCTGGAAGGACAGGGACCATTGGGCTGTTTTTCAGTGTTTCAGGTCAATATCAGACAAAGACTTTCTCTTGGTACAGATTTCTTCAGCAGCCCCGTGATTTTTGGTAGCTTGATGGTCTCTATTTTGCTGGGAATGCAAACGTTATATTTGTTAAATTTCTTGTCCCTTTTTGATGGACTTGGACTTCCTCATGTGTTTGGTGATTGTTAATTCTGTACCTGTCTTCTATGATGCGCCTATTTATTCTCCTGAATGCCTTGGACTTTATGGGTTTCCTGGCTGAACACTGTGCCTTCTTGTCTGCTTCCTTCTTTTAGGCCCATTGAAAATTGTTAATTTTCTTTTTTCTGTTTTTTTTTTTTTTGTGGTGAGGAAGATCGGCCTTGAGCTAACATCTGTTGCCAGTCTTCCTCTTTTTGCTGAGGAAGATTAGCCCTGAGCTAACATCTGTGCCCATCTTCCTCTATTTTGTATATGGGATGCCTCCACAGCATGGCTTGATGAGCAGTACGTAGGTCTGCACCTGGGATCTGAACCTGTGAACCTCGGGCTGCTAAAGCGGAGTGCACGAACTTAACCACTGTGCCACCGGGCCGGCCCCAAAAATTGTTAATTTTTAATCACAGATGTATGTGTCTTAATTTTTTCTCTCACTTTTACCTGTTTGGTATCAGAGAGGGAATTTTGGCTTATGTTCAGTTCATTATCTTGACACGGTCAAAGCTAAATTTTTAGAAAGGAAAAATTGATACTAACCCAAATTTCCAACAAAAGGGGTAGAATACACTTGTATATCCATGTAACAGGACATTATGCAGGTATTCAATTTTTGTTTTGCAAGGACATAGGGAATAATGAAAAACTTCTCTCAATACATTTTTAGTGATGTCATTTAGTAAAACATATGTTCTATAGATAGAAAGATATAGGTAGGCATTAAAATGTAAATGTTAAAGAACATTAAGATTGTAGGTGATTTTTATTTGTTATAAGTTTCTGTATTTTCCATATTTTTTATAATAAATATGTTGTTACTTTTGGTGAGGAAGATTGGCCCTGAGCTAACATCTGTTGCCAATCTTTCTCTTTTTGCTGAGGAAGATTAGCCTTGAGCTAACATCACTGCCCATCTTCCTCTATTTTGTGTATGGGATGCTGCCATGGCATGGCTTGATGAGTGGTGCATAGGTCTGCACCTGAGATCCAAACCATTGACCCTGTTACCTTTCCACAATCCATCATCCCCTTCATTTCTACCACTAAAGTAACAAAAATATCAGAAGATGATGTCTAAAATTGATTAATCAAGCCATGGTGAAATAAGAATGTGATGAAGATATATGAAGGACTATTTGAAAAAACTGCTGAAATAGTTAAAAGTGCTTATTCTTAAGAGTAAGGGAGGGAGTAAATGGGACTTGGAAAGAAAGCAAGCCCGTATAATAAGCAAATTATGTGATGTTAACCTTATCTAGTTTAATATAAAGTTCTATTTTTGTAAAATATAAATTGGGTGTATGAGTGTATATTTGTGTATGTGTGTGTCTTAAAGAAAATCTTAACTCTGTCTTAGGTAGACTGTGTATGGTTTTAATAAAAATTCCACTGGCAATTTATATGATCTGGGTTGTTTTGAATAATTTACCCTGAATGTAAGTGAACAAATCTAAACATACAGATTGAGGATTAAAATCTCACAATATTACTTTGAAGTATTAGTAGAAAATAATTTTGTTGAAAAAATAACAGTTTATTTTGGTTTAAAATTAATAGGTGACATAATCTTCATCATCATTTCTATTATTACTACTGTATTGAAAGTCTATCATATACCATGTGACTGTCTTAATTTCAGTATTATGGTGTATAGTATATATTTACTTCCTATAAATATTTAGAAATCTGCTGATTGGCTTTATAAATATCTTGTTTATTTAGCAAATATTTAATGACTACTAACTATGTGCTAAGTACTGCTTTAGGTACTTGGGATTTATTAGAGAACAAATAAAACAGAGATACAGGTAGTCTGGTAGGAGTAACAGTCTAATTCTAGCAAGATAGCTGTTAGTGAGGAATACAGCCATGTTCTTAGATTGTTTGCATTTTTAAAGCTATATTACTATAAAACTGTATTACTTATAAACCAAGAGAAAAGACAATTTCCAGTGCTAACTTACTTTTGTTTTATTAGATTGAGGAACTTCAGCAGGCTTTAGCAGTAAAACAAAATGAAGAGCATGACCGACAGCGGAGAATAAGTAATACGCGCAAAATGATAGAAGATTTGCAGAATGAACTGAAGAACACAGAAAACTGTGAGAATCTTCAACCCCAGATTGATGCCATTACAAGTGATCTGAGACAAATTCAAGATGAAAAGGCATTATGTGAAGGCGAGATAATTGATATGCGAAGAGAGAAGGAAACTCTAGAGAAGGAGAAAAAGAGTAAGTTTTATTAAACTTAGGGTGAAGAGATGTTTATAAAATGGAGATATATCCATGGGCATGATGGGCTTTCTTCTTCCCCTGATGTCATGTCTCTGAATGTTCAAGTTGAGGAAGCTCAGCTCAGTTCTTCCAACGTAGTGCCTTAATTAGCCACATCTGTCGTGTACCATGATTTGCCTTTGGCTGGCCGTTGTCTTATGTCAGATTATGGCAGTTGATTTAATTCTCTAAAAATGCTTTGCTTTATTTTCTTTACGAAGTCACTCACTATTATTTTTTAAATCAAGTTTAAGTTCTTTATTTATAACCTTTATGACCTTCCTTTAGCTTTGCTCTGTGAAACCTGTCCAATTTCATCTTTGCTTTTCTTTCCCGTAGACCACGTTATTCAGATAGAGGAGATCTTATATTTCTGTCTGCTCAGTATATGACTAAGATCAGTAAAGAAAAGAACCCATTTTTTTATGTGTTTATCAAAGTACTAGGTGTGTATGGTAAAAAAAAAAAAAAACAGAAGGATGGCCCAACCTTTTCCAACTTCCAGACTCACTCTTAAGAGTAAGCACTTTTAACTGTTTCAGCAGTTTTTTCAAATAGTCCTTCATATATCTTCATCATATTCTTATTTCACCATGGCTTGATTAATCAACTTTAGATATTACCTTTTGATATTTTTGTTACTTTAGATATAGATTTCAGCTCATAACACCTCTCCCTTTTATTGTAATTCCTCAAATGGGATTATTATATTAACATTGGTTATTAATCATTAACATTTATTAATATTGATTTATTATAAGTACTATTCTTATATCTATTTTCGTCATTTAACAATTGTCAGTATTGCTTGACTGCACACTTTGTAAGCTAAAAACACTAGTCTCCCATCCTTTCTTTTTACTTTCCTCCCTTCTCACATTCTTTTTTTGTTTGTTTGTTTTTGTTTTTTTTTTTTGTTTATTGCAGTAACATTGGTTTATAACATTGTATAAATTTCAGGTGTACATCATTATACTTCTATTTCTGCATAGATTACATCATGTTC